CCTGCCGCCTCCCCTCTCAGCGCCACCGCCGCGGTGCGGCCTCCTCAGGGAGTGCCTGCAGTAATGTCAGCTGCGAAGGGGGGACCCTCCTCTGAAATCATCCTCCACGGGCACCGGAGGCTTTTGTTTGGAGTCCGTTTTGGGTTTGTGTTTTGGGGTTTTGTTTGGTTCGTTGTTTTTTGTTTGTTTGTTTGGGAAAACAGCCAGCTTCCAGTACAGTGCAAAATCAAGACTTAAATTCACATAAAATAAAAGGAGTTAAATGAAAATCCCCAAGCTTGGACACAACAATAACTTCTCTTAAATACAGGAGAGGGGGGGAAATAGAGTGGCTTTTCTGTTGTCAGATGCTCCATGTAAAAATACTCGTGAGGAAGCCGAGCGCTGCAAAGATGCATGTGTATGTGACAGCCATCGTGTGGAGCTTGTCAAAGGCTGGAAGCCTCTTCCAGGAGCAAAAAGATACATCAGCAAATTCTAATGCACCTTTATTAAACTCCAGACAGGATAGAAACCTATGTAGAGAATAGATGATAAACCTTTCAAAATTACATGTTATTCAAAAGTTAAGCATACCCAATACTATTAAAAACGGAATACTGAGAAGGGTAAAAAGTAGGAAAGCTGTATTGTGGTAGAAAAAAGTTCACTGAAGTTTGAGCATTTTGGAGGGTGTTCACCTTAAAATTGGGCCTGAAAATGGAAAAGTATTTGTTGTCTTTCTGGAATTTCCCTCATAAGAATACACTTTCTCTTCAGTAATATGAGTGATGCTAAGACTGCGGGAAAGTAACTACAAACATGCTGACAGTAAAGGAATTTGAATTAACATGATTTAAAAAAAGATCCATGTATTTAGAGTATCAAACAGTATAGGGAGAACATTTTTAAGGTGGAGGTCAGGTAGTAAAACCTATAAAAGGTTAAAAGGGCAATGATAAGTAATTTGCAACATCATGAAACTTTTAAGTCACATAAAACTGATGGGCATTTTTGTAAACAAGTTTTTTCTGTTTCTTTTGTCCTTGAGACACAAGGAAGTATCGTCATGAATGTTTGAAAAAAAAGAAAAAAAAGGCATTACCTTAATTTTTTTTTTTTTAATCATTGCTCTTCTTGTGGATTACATCTGTGTTGGACTGCTCTTGATGCTGACATCTCCTTCGGAAAAAACCTCTTTCTTTGAACAACTGACCCAACTGGTTTGTCTCAAAATGCATTCTGGTTTCACATTGGCCATTTGAGGGTTACTCCTGTTCAAACAGCGAGTCCACTTGAAATGCACCCAACTGATTCCCATGTTCCTATAATTAAAATAATTTAGATTCAGTAGCATTTAAGAATCATTACAGTTGGCTGCTTTTTTAAGATTCAGTTGTTGGGGTTTTTTTAGGCTCTTAGTCACTTGCCATTCCCTCAGGAACTTTATGCGAGAGATGTGTTGGCTGACCATTTTGCAACGCTTCCGAGAACTACAGAGCAGAATAATTCCACACAGCTTTATAACACAGGCGAAGTTGCAAGCTAGACCTAATTCTCTATCATGAGCAAAATGGTGTATTACAAAATGACACTGAAAAATACATGAACTGTGCCTGAGTTATGAAATGAAATTTCCAAATTCTATGCTTGCTCTATGTGGAACTGTTTCCTTGTAACAGAAAGTTCCTAAACAGCAAATTATGTTTCCTTTCTGAAGAATTATTAAATGAAAACCTTGCTATGATGTCACATGTCAGGCAGCATTACAGTAATGCTTGCCATGTGAACTTGAAAAAAATAGAATCACAGAATCGTCAAGGTTGGAAAAGACCCTTAAGATCATCGAGTCCAACCGTCAACCTAGCACTGCCAAGTCCATCTATAGCATGTCTTCAAGCACCGTATCCATCCGTTCTTTAAATACCTCCAGGGATGGAGACTCAACCACTTCCCTGGGCAGCCTGTTCCAATGCCTGACCACCCTCGGTGAAGAAGTTTTTCCTAATATCTAACCTAAACCTCCCCTGGCGCAGCTTGAGGCCGTTTCCTCTCGTCCTATCACTTGTTACTAGGGAGAAGAGACCAACCCCCACCTCGCTACAACCTCCTGTCAGGTAGTTGTAGAGAGCAATAAGGTCTCCCCTCAGCCTCCTCTTCTCCAGACTAAACAACCCCAGCTCCCTCAGCCGCTCCTCATAAGACTTGTGCTCCAGACCCTTCACCAGCTTCATTGCTCTTCTTTGGATGCACTCCAGCCCCTCGATGTCCTTCTTGTAGGGAGGGGCCCAAAACTCAACACAGTATTTGAGGTGCAGCCTCACCAGTGCTGAGTACAGGGGCACTATCACCTCCCTGGTCCTGTTGGCCACACTATTCCTGATACAGGCCAGGATGCCATTGGCCCTCTTGGCCACCTGAGCACACTGCTGGCTCATGTTCCAGCGGCTGTCAGCCAACCCCCCCAGGTCCTTTTCTGCCAGGCAGCTCTCCAGCCACTCTTCCCCAAGCCTGTAGCGTTGCATGGGGTGGTTGTGGCCGAAGTGCAGGACCCAGCACTTAGCCTTGTTGAATCTCATGCAGTTGGCCCTGGCCCATCGATCCAGCCTCTCCAGGTCCCTCTGTAGGGCCTTCCTGTCCTCCAGCAGATCAACACTCCCACCCAACCTGGTGTTGTCTGCAAACTTACTGAGGGTACAATCGATCCCCTCATCGAGATAGTTGTTAAAGATATTAAACAGAACTGGCCCCAATTCTGAGCCCTGGGGAACACCACTTGTTACCAGCTGCTAACTGGATTTAATTCCATTCACCACAACTCTTTGGCCCCAGGCATCCTGCCAGTTTTTTACCCAACACAGAGTATACTCATCCAAGCCATGAGTAGCCTGTTGCTACATCCCCTTCAGATTCTTCTTCCTTTTACTAAAACAGCCTCAGCTCTTTCTCTTTTCTCATAAATAATGCCTTCTAGATCTCTAGATCAACGATTGTTGCTTTTCTTAGTGCTCTCCAGTTGGTCTAAATCTTCCTGAGGTGCTTCTCGAAACATCAAATGGGGTGAGGTCTCAACAGTGAGAAATATTATTTAAGAATTATTCCACTGGTCTGGCAAACATATTCCAGTACAATGATCTTCTTCCTCTGCCAGCTCCCTCAGTATCCTCAGGTGGATAGATGCAGTCTTTTCTGTTTAGTATTTTTCTGCTTACAGACGGGGCTTATGTCAATCACATGACTGAAATGTTTTTCTCTTCATCACAAAAAGACCAAAACTAAATACCCAAAGCAGTGATGTTCCTAATAAAACTTTGTGTTTG